CTGGTCATGTCGCAAAGCAGTTGTTAAGTGAGAAATATACTGCACTTGCTGAGGGAAACCCAAACAGGGATATCATGAGTTTGCTGGGTGCGTTTGCCTTCTGAACTTGTTAAAGCAGACCTAATCTGTACCGCGACAGTGAAAGCCAATGTCTCGGAAAATCCACATACACGACTTAATGATGAAGAGATGTTTGCTCAGATGAAGTATGTGTAATATCTCAAACAGAGCCTCACTGTTGATCCCCGTGTTCAAGCTCCATCATGTTTGCGGGCCACGAAACGACTGCCAATACACTCTCCTGGACGCTTCTCGAACTTTCAAGACATCCTGACATACAACACCGTCTAAGGGCCCATATCAGAGAGAAAGAAAGAGCCATTTTTGTTCGTGGTGATACCGAGTTTTCCGTCCAGGACTTGGATAGTATGCCTTATCTGACTGCTGTGGTAAAGGTTAGCAGATGATAAATCAGCTATGATTTCAAGCTCATCCTTCCATTAGGAAATCCTTCGATTCCATCCCATTGTTTATAATAGTCGCAGGGAGGCAGCTCACGACGATGTACTCCCATTGAGCAAGCCTGTGACCTTGTCGACGGGAAAGGTGGTGCGAGAGATAGCGATACCTAAGGGGACATCTATTATTGCATCGATCGCCGGCTACAATAGGTAGGAGCCACCTATGATGCGTTGTGGTATTCGCTGAATTCATAGGAAACGGAAAGGCACAAAAGTGTGTGGGGAGAAGATGCACATGTTTTCGATCCCACTCGATGGCTCGGGGGAAATACTAATAAGGAGGTACCAATTGGCGTCTACGGGAACTTGTGCGATCTAGCTTCAATCGCAGGCGCAGTACTATGCTGAACATTTTCGCTATAGATTCACGTTTTCCGGAGGACTTAGGTCTTGTATTGGCTGGCGATTTGCGTATGGAGTCTTCGCTATGTCTCTTTTACTGAACGCTAACTATGTAAATTCATAGTGTCCTCGAACTCCACGCGTTCATTGTGGAGGTCATCAATAACTTTGAGTTTTCGTTGACCAAGGAATCTGAGCGGATTCGGAGGGAGGCTTGTGGTATAATGGCGCCGACGGTGGAGGGGGAGGTGCAGAAAGGTTCCCAGCTGCCGTTGAGAGTAACTATTGCCTCTCGCCACTGACCCTGACACCAAAAGAAATGTATATGTAACGACTGAATACGAAAAGCTGGATCCCGGTTTGACAGTATGGTAATCAGCACGGGACTGATATCGGTCTTCGGAGCTTCAAAGGCTGTTCTTTATTTCATCACCACTTTTCATTGACTAGTGAACCGGCTGTAAGTTCAATAAAGTGGTGAGGTGCAAAAGCCACTCTTTTGAGGTACGTCCCATCCAAACACTGTGGCTGGGATTCGAACCTAGCTTACGCGCGCACATAAGATTATGGTACTAACCGATACACTTACCAGAGGCATGTTAGTTAAGAAGTCGACGGCATGGTAACACCGCACGCGTCGCCGATTTTTACCTTGGACACGCGTCTTTGCTCCAGCTCTTATGCGACCCTTGTGCCCGGCGTAATACATGTCCCATAGCATTTCTTGTCTTTCCATTGCCGCGCGTTCTTTCCTCTCATTCTTCGTGTTTTCTAATAGTATCAGTCCGGCAGCTGAGCCGACAGGGCCCCACTAAATATTTTTATCCTCATGTTTATCGGTAACGCGGCAGTTGACAAGGCAATAATTACTGTGCAACTCAGTCAACTGTCATGAGTGACTTCCCGTCGTATGCTTTGACGATGACTAACAACCCTCAACTTGGAGAGGCTTGCCATAGTGGGCCTGTTTTCGTATCTTTCTGATGATGTTCCTTGTACCATGACCCACGCTTCTCATCCGTTTTGATCTCATTCGAATCGTGGGCACGGCATACCTAATAGACTATTATATATTCTGTGCGCATTCTGTCAGGTCCTGATCATGGCTTTACTCCTTACTCTGCCGGCTATCTGTTTGCTCAGTGTAGTGTATCTGACATACAAGCGACTTAAACGTATATCGATTGCTAATGTTCCTGGGCCGCAATGGAAATCTTGGCTTTACGGTACGTCTTGGACGACCACCTTTTGGCTGTCTCCCATATTTATGTGAAAGGAAACTTGCCCGAACTTCTGAAAGGCGAGGCGGGAGAAGTAAACTGATGAACCTCGATTACTTCAGGATGTAGGTTTATACTGCATTTAGGTCGACTTTAAATGGCAAGACCAGTATGGCGACGTCGTTCGAGTACGAGCAGCATTGGGAGTAAGCCGCCTTTTTCTCGCTAGTTGTCCAGTTACTGACTGTCTTATCATGCAGGAAGATCTCCTCCTGGTTTCCGATCCCAAAGCGCTTCAGTATATATACCAGACTAGCGGCTATAGGTTTATCAAACCCCCAGGTCGGAAAGAAATCGGGCGATTGACTGTCGGGTCGGGAATTTTCTCTGTTGAAGGTCTGCTGTGAAGATTGGGACATTTACATGCTCATCTGTTTGCGTTTACACAGGTGATGTCCACAAGAGACATCGTAAAGTTCTCCTTCCTGGTTTCGGAGGACCTGAAACCAGATTTTACGCGCCGGTATTTTTCACACATGCTGGGAAGGTGAATAGTAATCTCCTATTGAAATATTCTCCACTGGATTACCGTTGATCTGAAGTTGGTATCAAAATGGAAGGAGCTGATCTCCACTTCCGACAACCAGTCTGTCGTCATCGACATTCCTTCGTGGACGTCCCGTGCAACGTTGGATGCCATCGGCGAGGGTATGTTGCTGTCATTGACGTTTCACAGGTTCGGTTTAACGACACTTTTAGCGGCATTTGATTATCAGTTTGGTGCCCTCGACAACTCATCCAATCCTCTAACCATCGCGTACACAAATCTATTGTCAGCGTTCCCAAATTTCTCATTTCGAAAGATTGCTTTGATGACGACATTGTTTTCTAGCTTTGATATCTTTGCCGTAGCCACGGACAACAGCACCCTATCACTGAATTTGATGGAATGGCTTCCTATGTGGTTTTTACGACTTGCTGTGAGGAAGATCCCAATCAAACGACTGAAGCATGCGAAAATGGTCCGCGACTTAACTGGTCATGTCGCAAAGCAGTTGTTAAGTGAGAAATATACTGCACTTGCTGAGGGAAACCCAAACAGGGATATCATGAGTTTGCTGGGTGCGTTT